TTATTTAATATATTAAATATTTAGATAAAACCCCAAAACCCCAAAACCCCAAAACCCCTAGTAGCTATTTTGATAAGTTGAATTAGTTAATTATTTATGAAATATAATTGAGATCTCATAGACTTTCTCAGAATAAGCATAAATTGGGAGAAAAAGTAACAAGACCTTAATTTTATTGGAGCTTTCATTATTTTCCATCTTCCTCATCATCATCTTCTTCATCGTCTTCATCCTCATTTTCATCGATTCCTTCCATTTCCTTTTCTTGTCTCTCCTGATTTCTGCGATTGAATTCTTCTCTGGTAACCATTTCACCTGAATCAAGATCATAGACTAATTCTTCTTTAGCTTTGTTGGCGTCTTATTTAGTTTTAGTATTAATTTGTGACTCTGCATTTCCATCAACTTTGCCATCTTCCTTTTATACATTTTAAGCTGAGTTAGCATTGTCGCTACCTTGGTTGTTAGCAGTTCCAAAAACTTTGACTGGCTTGTATTTTAGTACTTTACCAACTGCAATAGTTTTACCCTCATCTCTCAAGGTGAATCTTCCCATCTATTCCAGGAAATCGTGCTTTTCAAGTGGAATTGGAATTCTGACTTGAACTCTGCAGATAATTCTACTGAAGCTCTGTGTAAATTATGGTTTTTATTTCTCAATGATTTCTCCTTTATCGTTTTTTTCATAAGACACAAGGATCTCCTTAATAGTTGCTTCCTCAGCAACTGTATGGATATGTAAAATACATTGATAGCCTTTGGAGAGAATTGGTTTATATTTTAAGAGTTCAAGAACATCTATTTCAGCTTCGAATAAATCAGTGATTGGAATTTATTCATCAATCTTACAAAGCACATCTCCTTTGTTTACCAAATTTTCGTCATTGATGTTAAGCAGTCTGAGTTGAACATTTTCACCTGGCTTAGCATACTTAACAGCCTCACCTTTACTGTTGTAAACAGTGGCTACTTGACAAAGAAGATTTTATGGCATTACATTAAGTTGATCTCCAACTTTTACAGTACCTGACTCAACCTTTCCAAAGATAACTGTGCCTCTATCTCTCATTTTATCAAGAATAGGAATTCTCAATGGACCATCTGGATTTCTTGGTGGTAATTCAAGATCATCAAGAATTTCAAGAAGAGTAGGACCATTATACCAGTTGCAAACAGTTTTGCTTACTTATTCTTTAATGTTGTCTCCATTAAGACCAGAAAGAGGTACATAGATGCAATCTGTTTCTGGATCATATCCGCATCCCTTAATGAATGGCTTTAGAGAAGTTAAAATATCTGTATATCTATCCTTGCTCCACTTAACACTAGGCTCATCCATCTTGTTCACAGCGACAACAAGTTTATAAATACCTAAACTCTTAGCGAGTTAAATATGTTCTCTAGTTTGACCATCCATATCAAAACCAGATTCGAATTCTCCCTTTTTGGCTGAGATAACTAAACAACCAAAGTCAGCTAATGCTGCACCCATAATCATATTTGGCACGTAGTTTTTATGGCCTGGAGCATCGAAAATAGTCCATCTCTTCTTTGGAGTTTCTATATTAGCTCTACCTATTTCGACAGTTTTTCCCTTAGCTTTTTCTTCCTCGTTTACATCCATAACATAGGCTAACCACCAAGATTCTCTGTTATTTTCCTTTGCTTCTTCTTTATATTTCTAGATAGTTCTTTGATCGACAGCACCCATTATGAACATTAAATTTCCACTAATAGTAGATTTACCTGCATCGACATGACCAATACATACTAAACTTGCTGGTTGTCTAGTCTCATCTACCTCAACAATTTGATCTTCAGCTACATTACGAACTTTACTGTTGATGCTTCTAGCTTCCTTTTCTCTTATTAACTTAAGTTTATCTGCCTTTTTCTGTTCATTCTTAATCTTCATTTTCTCGAGTTACTCTTAACTTAATTCCTTAGGTGGAGCAGGTTGAGGTTTAGGTTTCTTTAATAAATTCTTAGCCCCATAAACAACGTCTTCTTCCTCTTCTTCATCATCGTATTGTTTTCTCCTATTTCCTTTAGCAAGTCTAGATCCAATCTTTGGCTTTATCTTATATGCTCCTTCAGTATCTTGTTGAATTTTTGATAGTCTTGCTTATTCCTCGTTGAATTGAGCTGTTTGATAAAGCCAAATGATCAAATCAGCAGGGTTAGTAGAATATTCAGGATAATATGTGAAAATGAAAACCATTTGATCCTCATTAGGCATCAAAGGATTCAAGAATGGATCTGCAGGCATTTAAGGATTGTCTGGGTAAATTAAGAAAAATTCCTTTGATTTACCATGTGTGGGATCACTGCTATTTGAAGCTTACTTTGTTGGTTAATCTCCTCCAGTTGTAACAACCTTCTTTTTCACTGGTTCTTTAGTTGCAGCCATATCAAGAGTAGGGAATTGTTCCACAGTTTTTACTATTTTCTTCTTTGGAACGAATTCAGTTGCTTCAAGCTTAAAAGATGTCTATGTAGTGTTTGACTGCACAGTTGTATTTGAAGTAGTTGCTCCAAGTGTGGGGAAAGTGCTAGTAGTAAGTGGAACACTTTATGTTTAACCTAGTCCAATTTGTTGTCCTGCAAGAAGATTTGTGTCATTTGCTAGACCAAGTCCTTAGAATTAAGCATTTAGTGATTGAGTTTGATTGACTCCACCAATGTATTATTATTGCTGTGGCATACCCCAGTTCATACCGCCAGTATTTCCCATCATGAATTGTTGTTGTTATTAGTCAAACATCTACATTACAGGATTTCCAAATTGATCAAACATTGGTTGTTACATGAACATCTAGTTTGGCATGTATTATTACTACTACTGCGCAAATTGCTATTGTTAAAATCCTCCACCATACATTTGAGTAGGATCTTAGTATTGCATTTGTTACTACCCATTGAATTGATTTTGTCCCTACATCTGCATAGTCTATTGTGCTTGAACTTGTATATTTGCGCTTGCCCCTCCGCCTAAAGCTGGGAAATCATCACTTTTGAGATTGCTTTTATTTGATGAAGTTTGTCCAAGATTGAATACTTGGTAATTTGCTTGCTAGTTTGACATGAAAACTTTGCTACCCCTAATAGCTAAGTTATATTATTTAATATAATAATTTTACTATTTGTTTTAAAGGTATATAGTCCAGTGGGGTTTTGGGGTTTTGGGGTTTTGGGG